TGCCCATTGCGGCCAAGGTGCAGCAGCTGCAAAGCCACGGCAACGCGTCGCGCTTGGCCGCTCAACCCGCGCTGTGCCACAAGGTACGTGCCGACCGAGGACTCGCGCCTTGCAGCGGTAGTCGCTGCATTTAACGTTGGCATACATGCATGAGCGATCACGCGTGCAATGCAAAGCTTGTCGCTTGAGCTTGGGAAGCAAGACATCGCTCCAAGCCCACTCGTGCTGTGATGCTATGACGAGGAGAGCTGGCAACATCATTGTCCACCCTGCACTCACTATATGCCGTTGCCACTACGCACAATAATTGTTTTACACGATGACTTGACGTAGCTGCAGGTACCATAGATTAAGAGGTCGGGGTTGGCGTCGATAAAAAAGTACATTTTGTATTGTATATGGCAGCATCGTCCGCAACAAAATATGACGCGGAATCGGGCATGCAAGCGTCTGAACACGCAAGTCGTCCGCTTCCGCGAAATAGGGTATCGAATCCTGACCCTACTGAGAGTAAAACCTCGCGCTGTACCGCCAGACCATAGGGCTTTCATGATCTTTTACGTTCAAAGTCCCTACTGTAGATAAATTCTGCCGGCGGCCGTACAAAGGCGCCTCGACCCTTTACACGCGCTGTACACTGGCTCGACCAGGAAACCCTACCCCTCGTAGAAACCTACCCTCGTATTGGGACCGGCGACAACCCATGCACGCGTCTACGACACATGGCATACAATACTAATAGTACGTAGCATCATTCTTGGTTGGGTGCTCCAAACGGAGGCTGCCGCTGCCGAGGTACAAAGTGTAGATGCCACAAGGACGGCTCTCGCTCCTGCAATCGTTGGCTGGGTTTGGCGACGGCGTTGGACGAGTTTGACCCGAAAGTATTAATAGTCCTCGCTACATCCAGGCAGCACAGTACATTGGACAAAGCCCGTGACACTGAGGGCGACAGCGCGGTCGCGGGTCGACCAATGCAATGTGCCCATGGAGGGTCCTCTCTTTTATGAAGAGCCCTCGTCATTGACACCTACCAACTTGTATGTTCCGGTAAGGAGGTAAGGTATCACTGGTGCAGAACTCGTGTTGTATACCAAATGCTATAAATGTATGTTGTGGCGCGCATCGCCACAACATATAGCTTCGCAGCATGTAGATGTGCTTATTGGTCCTCCATACTTCAGGCGACAAGATCTGCATCCCATGAGCATCAATATTCATTCATTCAGGCTTGTTGGAAATCAAACACATCAAATGGAGCGACCGTCGCTTAGAGACGCGGGTGCGAGTCTTCGGTCGGCGGCACGGGCACGTACGTCGTGGCGCGGGGCGGGTTGAGCGGCGCCGCAGCGGCCGTGCGCGACGCGTTGCCCTTGCCTTGCTGGCGCAGCTGCTGCACCTTGGCCGCGAGGCGCGCGCCGTACTCCTTGTCGGCCGCGGCAAAGTTGGCAATCTACAATCCCCATACATCTATCAATGTATCAACTTGATACAGGCGTACCGCGCGGGCCTGGATCGTCGGGTGGGCGTGGACGAGGTTGCCGGCGATGTTGTCGACGAGGCGAGTGCGCTCGGCCTCCGAGAGCACCTTGCGGTAAAAGTCGCCGCACTGCGAAAAGTTGTCGTCGTCCTTCGTCGAGTACTTCATGACGCGCGTCGCCGCCGGGATCTTGGCCGTCATCTGGGCCAGGCCCAGCGCAAAGGATGGGCCGCCGGCTGAGTTGGGAAAGTAGTTGGGCGTGCTGCCCATGTTGCCGATGACCGACATGGCACCGTCGCGCTGGTATGTCTGCGGCGGGCGCAGCGGCTGGTTGACCGGAATCTGCTGGTAGTTGACGCCGAGGCGGTGGCGGTGCGTGTCGGCGTACGAGAAGAGACGGCCTTGCAGCATCTTGTCGGGCGACGCATCAATGCCCGGTACAAAGTGCGACGGCGCAAACGCGAGCTGCTCGACGTCGGCAAAGTAGTTGGGCGGGTTGCGGTGCAAGACGAGCTTGCCGACTTCCCGCAGCGGGTACGCCGAGTGCGCCCAAATCTTGGTCACGTCAAACGGGTTAAAGCCCTTCGCGAGCTGCGCCTCGGCGTCGGCTTCCGACATGACCTGGATGTAGAGTGTCCACGTCGGGAATTCCTTGCGGGCAATGGCCTCGTACAAATCTTGGATCGCGTAATCCGGGTTGGACGCGCTGAGCTTCTCGGCCTCGTCGACCTACACGTCAAATGTATCGACTGGATACAGCGAGATGCAAGGACGCACCGGAAGGTTGCGGATGCCCTGGTCCGTCTTGAAGTGGTACTTGACGTAGCTCACGTCGCCGGCGGCGTTCGTGTTCATAAACGTGTGGCTGCCGTACCCGTTCATGTGGCGGTACCCGTCCGGAATACCGCGGTCCGAGAAGAGGAACGACACTTGGTGCGTCGTCTCGGGGCGCAGCGAGATGAAGTCCCAAAACATGTCGGCGTCCTTGAGATGCGTCGACGGATTGCGCTTCTGCGTGTGGATAAAGCTCGGGAAGAGAATCGGGTCGCGGATGAAGAAGATCGGCGTGTTGTTGCCAACGAGGTCCCAGTTGCCTTCCTCCGTGTAAAACTTGACCGCAAACCCGCGCGGATCGCGGACCGTGTCGGCGCTGCCCGACTCGCCGCCGACCGTCGAGAAGCGCGCCGCCACCGGCGTGCGCTTGCCAACCGCTGCAAAGAGGCTCGCCTTGCACACGTCGGTAATGTCGGCCGTCGTCTCAAAGTAGCCAAACGCGCCCGCGCCCTTGGCGTGCACGACCCGCTCCGGGATGCGCTCGCGGTCAAAGTGCGCGAGGTGGTCGATGAGCGCAAAGTCCGTGAGCACGATCGGCCCGCTCGGGCCCGCGGTCGCCGACGCCGTGAGCCCGTCGGCCGGCAGCGGCGCGCCGTTGCTGCTCGTCATCGTCGTCGGCTTCTTCATGCTTGTTCCGCGGCCAATTTGGAAATGGCGACGTTGCACTTTCAGGCAACGGGCAAATCCCGATCCGGAAATCCGGAAAAATGGGCTCGGCCTCCAACTTCAACCGGACGCTTGCCGATGCGAACGCTCGCGAGGTTGAAGTGAAAGATCGCGCGTTCTTGAGCGTCATAGTGCAGCTCGCGACGGCGTGGAGGCAGCACGTTAGCGGGACACGCATCAGCCGAGCGAGCGATTCGCTGAACACGCTTGCCTAATTGTAGTACTAGTACGCTGAGCTGTGAAATCTCGGGCCATTTCTCATCATGCTACCTTCCCACTCTCGATCGATGGGTCGATCGATCAACCAAAGGCTCGTTAGCACGCCAAGCTGCCGTCACCGCGAGCGAATCGACGCTAGGAACTTTAAATCCCAGACGAACGGAGCCGCTAAATTGATTTTCTTTTCTTGTTGATGTCTTGTCCAACGCGTCAACAAATGGCCAAGCATTTGCTGGGGACAACTCGGTTGCAAGTCTGGCGCCGACGTACCTGGTCCTTGGACCTTCCGACGCGGCGTCGCAGGTAGCGCAACCAGCCGAGCTAGCAAGGACAACCCAAGCCCTAGTCCGATGTCTCCCGATGAGCCCGGCCCGTCGGATTGAAGGATTGATACTTATTTATTTACATGCATTTGGGTCCATGGTGTCGACTCTAGAAGCGGTGGCTCGCGAGGTCGGGGCGCGCGCGGTTGCACACGTCGCAGTAGAAGGACGAGAGCGGGTTGAAAAAAGTGCAGCCGCCTTGGTCCGGGTCGCAGACCCACTTGTCTTTGGGCACCTCGCGGCGGCCGCTCATGCCCATCTCGCACACCGAGCACGTCGTCTCGAGAATCGGGTTGACGCACGTGCAGTTCTCGCACGTCCATGTGGTGGCTTGCGGCGTCTTGGCGAGCTTGTCGCGCGGCTCGCTGCACATGGCGCACGCCGTCAAGAGCGGCTCGTTCGTGTACGTGCACACGCTGCACATCCAGAGCGCGTCGCCGTCGGTCGTCGTCGTCTTGGCAGCGTGGTGCTCCTTTGTCGGGTCGACGTGGAAGGCCGCGCAGAGCTTGGCGATCGACACGCCGCGCTCTTCGTGCGCCGTCTCGACGAGACCGATAATCTCGTTGAGGTCGCTGGGCGAGAACCCGAGCTGGAAGCTCTCAAAGCACCGGAGGAGCTCGTCGTACGAGAGAACGCCGTCGTTGTTGCCGTCAAAACGGTGCCACGACGAGAGGAGCGGGATCTTCTCGGTGCGAATGCCGCGCTGAAATTGCTCCATCTTGGCGCGCGCGCTCAGCAAATGCCACTCGTCCGACTTGGTAAAGACCTTGGCCAGCGGCGTGTCGCCCCAGAGCTGGCGCTCGCGGCGGCGCAGGCGGAGACAACACATGAAGAATTCGTGCCGCAAGTGCAGCGGAATGTCGGCAAGGCCCGCGAGCACGTGGTCCATCTGCGGCGCCGTGTAGTACATTTCGCCGTTGAAGAACCGAAAGCACTCGATGGCTTCTTGCACAGTCGGCGTCAGCGCCGCCGACGACGCGTGCGACGCCTCGACGAGCGCGCCGTCGGCCGTGCGTAGCTGGATACCGCTGACGGCAAAGATGGGGTGCGCGCAGTGGATCATGCGACGCAGCGTCTCGCCTTCGGCCAGCGAGAGCGCGACAACGTAGACAGGCCCCGGCACCTCATTCTCGTCCGGTGTCCCAAGGTCCGATTGCGACGCGAGCTGGATCGCTTGGGCTGCTGCGTCCGTCGGGGCAATGCCGGGTTGTTGCGCGCAGATCGCAACAAAGAGCGTCGTGATGCGCGCGCGCAGCCGGCTCTGGATCTGAAGCGGATGCCACTCCATGAGAAAGCCAACGTTCTTGAGTCGGCGCTCGCCAAGGCCGATCCAGCGCGGACGAAAGTAGTTGTCCGAGACGAGCATCGAGACCGGAAAAGCGATCGACGGGCACGCCGTGTGCGCCTGGAAGCGCGCCATCGGGTAAAACGAGTCGCCCGTCATCTCCTTGAGAGCGTCCGTGCTCCACGGCACCGGATGCTCGTCGTCGCGCGTGTATGCGCTCATCTTTTGCTCTTCCTGCTCGGCCTCTTCTTCGGCCTCTTCTTCCGCCTCGGCTTCATTCTCGTGGACGACCTCGGCGTTCAAGTGCATGTCGCTCGACGCGGTCACGTGCCCGCTGAGGCTGCTCACGCGGCGCTGGACCGTCTCGATCCGCGCAAGCTCGGCCGGCGTTTGCACAAAGGCGGCATGCGCCGCCGTGAGCTCGGCCATCGTGTCGGTGATCGCCTTGGGCAACGGCAGCTGCGCCGCGACCGCGTACGACACTTGGACGCGGAAGGCGTCAATGCACTGCCGCAGCCAGTCGTTGCCTTGGAAACGCAGCAGCCGCTGCGTCGCATTCTGGCCGTGTCTGTGCGCATCGACTTCATCGAGGAGCGCATAGAGGGCGCGCTTCCGCCACGTGTTGTGGAGCTCCTGGAGCGAGAGCTGCACGAGCTGCATCGACTCCATCTTCATCGAGTTGACGAGCAGCCACGCGGGCACGAGCAGTCGAAAGTCGTCGAGAAGAACCGGTCCCGTCGCGACTTCTTGGCGAATCCGGTTCTCCACCTCGGGGATCAAGTACAAATGGATCGTCTGGCCCGCGCCAATGCCGCGCATGCGGTACGCGCCTTGGGCATAATCTCGAAACGTCATGTCCTTCCCAAGCGTGAGCACGGCGCGGGCACTCGTGCACTGCTTGATGTCCATGCCGGTCGTGTGCACTTGGTCGTAAAACGTAAAGCGCTTCTCGGGCCCGAGACCGCACTGCACGAGCGGCATCGCGGCCGCGTGGTCGCGCAGCAAAATCATCTGCCGGTCGCTCGGGTCCAAGTAGACGACGCCTTCCATCGAGAGAGGCAAGTGCGTCAAGAGGAAGCGCGCGACCTCTTCATTGTCGAGGCCCGTGATGAGCGCGCCCGTGTCGATGAGCGCATGGAACGGCGGGTCGTGGGTTGCAATGTCTCTGAGCAGACTCGTCGCGGTCCAGTCGAGCTTGCGCTCGAGCGTCGTCACGCGCGCCGACGTGAGCACCGAAAAGATGTTGCCGTCCGACTGCGGCTCATAGTGGCAGTCGCCGAGGTCCAACGGCAGCAAATTGCTCGGCGTACCCGAGAAACCAATGCGCTTCGCAAAGAGACTGTCGCTCCCGAGCTCGTGGCCGCACGCCGAGACCTTGAGCTTCTGAAAGTTCATGCACGACGGAAAGACGTGCTGCCGCACATAATAGTGCACGACCGACGGCAAGAGCCGCACCAGCTGCAACAAGCGCGTCACCTGCGACGCGTCGTTGAGCTGAAAGAGCGGCAGCGGGAGGACGCCGCTCGTGCTCTCGGCCAGCGCGAGGCCTTCGAGCACCCACGACCGGAAGAGCGCACACGCGGGGCGCTGCTCGCGCGGCCCGAGCTGCCGGCTAAAGTCGTGCTTGAGCTGCGCGACAACCGTCTTGATGTCGGTGCGCCGGACGCCTTCGTAGCGGTACGCGAGGATCGTGAGGCCAATGAGCACGTCGGGATGTGCAAACTCCGACGACCGACTCGGTACGTCCTTACCGACAAAGGGCACTGCGAGCAAGAGACGAGACGGCGTGTTGCCATTCGACTCGAAATGCTGCTTCTGCAAAAGGCCGTACGAGACGCGGTTGATCTTGGAAAGGCAGTGCGGCAAGAGCGTCCGGATCCATTCGCGCCCGAGGTTGAGCAGCTTGAGGCCGTGCTCCGAGAGCCCATTCTCAATGTGCGACTGACTACCAAGGTCGACGCGGTCGCACTGCAGGTAGTAGATGACGTCGTCCATCGAGAGCGTGCACTTGCCCATCTTGAAGTGGTGCGAGAGCCACTCGTACGCGACGCGAGCGAGGATCGGTCGGAGCTTGGCGTCATAGTACGCAACGTCCAGCAGCACCAAATGCGGGAAGCGCTGGAGCGCATGCACGTTGTAGCCCTCATGCAAGAGCGTGTGGAGCTCCGCGTGCAGCGGCGACGACGACGACGACGAGAGCACGACGTCGAGAAGGTGCATCGGTAGCTCCCAGCGGTTCGCCGCCAAGTCGATCGGAAACTTGTTGCCGATCGGAAAGTTGAGTTCCGACCGAAGCGGATGCAAGAGCACGTCCACCTCGTCCATGATGAGGACGCCGCGCTGCCACTGCCGAAGCACAACCTGAAGTTCGTCGGCCATGTCGGCGCGCGAGTGAAGCACCTTGCGGATGCGCATGCCGGTCCGCGACGTGTCGTGGAGGCGAAAGTCCGGGTCGTGCGTCGACTGCTCGAGCGAGTGGAGGAGCTCGACAAACTTGAGCAAAAGCGACTTGATGGCCTCGGGCGACGCGCAAATGACATCAGCGTGCACGCACGCACGCTGGAGCTTGGACGCAAGCGCTAGGATCGCCATCGGGTCGTCGTCGACGCTCCGGTCAAACGACAGCGTAAAGATGCGCTTTTGAAGAATCGCATTGCTAAAGCGCGACCGGAGCACGGCGCGCGACTGCTCGAGGAGCGCCGTCGGCATGACGTGCGTCACGAGCACCTTCGAGTCGGCGAGCATGTACGTCAAGAGCGGCCCGACGACCGTCGTCTTGCCGGCGCCCATGATCATCTGCTGCACCCGCGAGACGCCATTGTGCATGCTCGTCATAAAGCTCTCGACCATTTCGACTTGACGCTGCCGCAAGAGGAGCTCAAACACAAACTCAAAGAGGAGGTAGCGCGGGTCGTACGCATACGTCTGTCCATCGCGCTCCTTGAGGTAGTGGCGCGACGCCAAGAGTCCGTTGGCCACGTCCTGCGACGCGTGCAGCATCCGGCTCGCGTCTTGGTTTTGGTACAGCACGTGCGACTCGACGAGCGATTTCAGCGCGGCCGCCGACCCAATCAGTCGGTTCAGATGGCTCATACGGTTGGCGCAAAAGAGCACGAGCTGGACGAGCTGCAGTACCGTCGGCAATTGCGCCACATCGACAAACGGGTTCTTGCGCGCGAGGTCGCCGGCCATGTCGGAGGACGCGAGCGTCGACGCGAGGTACGCAAAGTCGATGGGCGTGTGCTGCTGCGCAAACCGCTCGACGAGGAAGCGGCACTTGGCCAAGCGCGTGCTCGGCGTATCGGTGACGCTAAATTCAACCACATTGACGCGCGCTTCCAGCGTCGCAATCGTCGCGAGGACAAAGGCTTCGTCCTTGGCGCGCTGCGCATGACTCGCTGCAATGAGCGTCTCGAGCTTGGCCACGCACGTCGCGCCGTCAAAGCCAAGGCGGGACACGCCGACAAAGAACGGCTCGAGCGTGTGGTTGGTCGTCTCGGCATGGTTCTTGACGTCGTCGGCCAATCGCTGCAGCAAGTCCTTGGCAACGACGCTCTGCGCCGCGGGGTGCGCCGAGAGATCAAACGGCAGCTGCGTCGCCAGTTCGCGCTCGGGGCGGCAGTGCACGACATAGTCCTCGGCGCGGAAAAAGCTGAGCGGCACAAACGGATGCAGCGCGTCGTGGCCAAGCGTGAAGACACGCTCGGCGCAGCTCGCGTCCGAGGGCTTGACCGCCAAAGGAAACGGAAACGCGCCGGCACGCGCGCGGCGCACCGTCTCGGGCAGCGTCTTGTGCGCGTGCGTGAGCTGCTGCCGCAACGGCGGGATGACGCGGTCGCTGTTGGCGACGAGGAGCGTCTGAAACTCCATCGTGGTCATGTCGAAAAAGTTCTTGAGCATCGAGTCCTTCAAGTGCTTCGAGTAGAGGTTCACGCCGCGCTCGAGCATGTGCGTCGAGTCCCGGTCCACGGGCAGCGCGGGCCACGCGTGGTACGGGTTCGAGAGCACGACCGCAACCTGCGACATGGCAATCGAGACCGAGCACTCTTCCTCGCCGTCCTCGACGACTTCCTTGCCCCAGCGCGCGAGCTTCAGATGCAAAAAGCGCGCGAGGAGGTCGGCCATCGACCGCGTGTACTCTTCGCCGTGCAGTCGGAGCGACACATGTCCGTTGAGACACTCGTACAAAAAGAGGCAGCCGAGGCCGCGGTTCGCGCCGCTCGCTTCGTCGCCGACAATCTCATTGTCCCAAATCAGCTTCATGCACTCTTCGTCGGCCAGCAGCGCCGACGGCCGCTTGTAGCGCACCGTCGAGAGCGTCGTTGCATGTTCTTCGAGGTACGCGGCCGTGAGCATGTTGAGCTTGACCCACGGCTGACCACCCACGCGGAGGCGCGCAGGCTTGACATCCGTGTCCATCTGCTTTCGCTGCTCGGCGACGCAGAGGGCCATGCGCACTTGCAGCAGCGGCGACATGTTCTCACAGAGCGCGAGCGCGTCGAGCTCCTCCTGGGCGTTCAAGCGGCACTCGGCTTGCACGTGGGCGACGCTGGTTGACACGACGTGCAGCTCGTCCGCCAAGCGCCACGAGCACTTATTTTCGCTGTACTGGATCGCGAGCGCCAATCGGACGCGGCACGCGCACGCGTCCGGGTGCCGGTCCTGCAGCGTCTTTTCAATTTGGTTGAAGATCCACTGCTCCTCGTCCGTAAACGGCACGTCGACATGGCACGTCGCAATGTACTGCGCCGCGCTCTTGTACTGGCGGTTCATGAGCGCGAGCAAAATCAGGTACAGCGTCGAACTCAGACTCGGCGTCAGCACAAACGTCTGGCTTGCGTGCACCGGGTACAAGTAGTAGCGCGTCTCCATGACCTGCTGCCAGCCCGCCGACGCGCGGTTGGGCACGACAACGGTCGAGAACGGCACGCCTTGGACCATCGGGCGATACACATCGTGGTTGGCGCACAGAAACCGGTACTCATCACGGGACGTGGCCAGCACGACCGCGTCCGGCATCGAGGTGGCGAGGGCGCGAAGCGGCGCCGAGAGCTTCGACATGTCGTCGAGACAGATAAACCACTCGCGCTGGTCGACCATGTAGAGATGGACGCGCCCGTCGTCCCCACGGCGCGGCTCAAAGCGCAACTTGAGCCGTGGCAGCTCGATGAGCGCAATCTGCGACAATTCTCCGACCGGGTCCGACTCGGTCTCGTGCTGCAATAGCGCCGTCGGCAACGTTGCCGTCCAAATCAACACGTGCGAGAGATCTTCAATGCGCCCCAGGACGTGTGCAATGCGCGCCATCGTAGAGTCCGGTGACGCGATATGGAGCGGGTTCAAGAGCACAAGCTCGCCACCGTGCGTCATCTTGACGCGCTTGGCGTCGGCTTGCTCGCCTTCGGACGCTTGCTTGGCCAAGCGCGGCGCGTTGGGCAGGGACGTGTCAGCGTCACCACCGCGCGTGTCGGCTTCCATGCGTGCGATTTCGTCCGCGTTGTCGGGCTCGCAAAGCCACGCCGTCGCCAGCGTATCGTCGTGGTTGAAGAGCTCCAGCGCATACGTCGCCGCAATGCGCGAGACAGATGACGCCGCCATGACAGCCTCGACGAGTTGCTGCTCACGGAGCGACGCCTCGAGCGCTTCTTCTGGAATCTCGTCGGCTTGAAGAATGCGCGTCTGGTTGGCTTCGTCCAGCAGCCACATCGCGGCTTCTTCGACGCTGTTGCCCGACTCCTTGAGCGCAAGGACGCACCCCGAGTACGAAAACCCGAGCGACATGAGCTGGACTACGTCTTCGTCGGCAATGACCATCTCTTGGCGCATCGGCGGCGGCGTCGGCGGCACGGCAATCGGCGCAGGCGGCGGCGCAATCACCGACGGCTGGCCCAACGTGTGCTGGATCAGCGTCGGCGCGGCATCGATCGCCTTGCGGACAACGTACGCAACCTTGTTGTGCTTGAGCTGGATCTCGAGCTGGTACTTGAACCACTGCGACTCGTCGTCGAGCGGCTCGCCGCGCAAAATGCCGTCTTCGCCCTGCCAAAACTTGAACGCTTCGAGGAACGCGCTCGGAATGAGGCCCTGGAGAAACCGCGGCGGCAAGTACGTCTCAACGCCATGAAGGCTCTTGTTGCGACGCAAAATGACGAGCGAGTTGCCAGAGCTCTGGAGCTCCATAATGTCGCCCGCCGCGTACTGCACGCTCGGCGCGACCGACTCGCCGGCGCCCTCGACGTTGGGCACAAAGCTGTGCAGCGCGAGACGCGCATTCGACGTAAAGAGAAGCTTGCGGTGCAGGCGGCGGCCGTGCGAGATGAGCGAAAAGACATGGAGTACGTTGTAGTGGCGGTACACGATCATCTCCTTGAATGTCGAGAGAAAATCCGACTTGTCGTTCTTGTGCAGCGCCAGAAGCGTCACGTGCGGCGCCGTCTCGGGCGCCACGCTCGTTGGAAGGAAGAGCGAGAACGGCAGCTTCTTGGCCGGGTCGTCCTCGGGAAAGAGCGCGTTCACGACGCTCCGCACGAGACTCACAAACCAGAGCTCCGACTCAATCTCGTGCTCGTCCTTTGAGTACGGATCCAAGCGCCGGCTATACTCGGTTCCGAGGTACAGGAACCCCGTCTCCGTGGGCTCGGCCGGCTGCGCCGGCGCTGGTGTCGGCGCCGGTACATGCTTGGGCGTTGCGCACACCTCACACGCTGCGTTGGGCTGGTCGCCGTTAAAGTTGGCGCACGTACACGCCGGGCACTCCCAGTACATCTTGGCGTCGCTCGGGACGGCAGGCGTCGCGGCCGGGACAGGCGGAAGAAACACCGTCGGCGTGTCGACGCCTTGGTCGTCGGGCGACGGCTCATCCCACTCCATGAGCTCGCACTCGGTGCCAAGAGGTGACTGAGTCGGAGATGCGCTTGGCGTGCGACGAGGCCGCAGTGCAGCGCTTCGTTGCCAAAGTGATGGCGATAGTCGGAAAACTGCACCATCGAGTCGGGCACGGGCTTGAGCTCGTCGTTGCGCCAGAGAATCTCGCCCGTTTGCAGGTCAATCTTCATCTCGGCTTGCGTGCACACGTAGCGACCCGTGCCGGCCACACCCGCGTCCATCGTCCACTCGTGCGTCGGCACGGTCTTGGCCCGGAGCGCAATGTGCAGAATCGAGTTGAGCAGCGCGTTGCAGTCGTTCGGCGAGAGCGACTGGGCAAACTCGACAATCGACCGGCGCTTGGCCTGCAGCAGCTCAAAGAGCTCGCTCTCGAGAACGCCCGCCGGCGGGTACAGCACGGTGGTCGCGTCCTCCTTTGGCTTCTTCTTCAGAATGCTCGGTGCTTGGATAATCTCCATGCCGACCTTCAAAACACCGGGCGATCCGTGAGGTACTTGTCCAAAGACCCCGTCGCGACGTTCTTAGTGTCAATGCCGTGGGCTTGGAGCCAGCGCAAGAGTCGTTGTTCACTCGAGAGCTCCGACTCGTCTTCCAGGAGCACGTGCATGCCAAAGCAGTGCCAATTGCGCACATACGCGACACTTCCGAGCAGCGTCACCAGCCGCGCCGGTGTGTACTCGTCGACGCGCAGGTTCATAAAGAGAAGCGCCATATACGAGTGGATGACGCACGCCGTGCGGAGGTCGTCCTTCGCCTCGGCCTCCATGCGCCACTTGTCCAGCGTCGTGAGCCCGAAACCAAAGAGCTGACCCACGAGCTCGCTGCGCAGCGCCTGCAGCGTCGCCAACGTCGTCGCAGACACGTGTGTGTGCTCGTACACGGCAAATGTCACATACCGCAGTACGTCGACGCTGAGCTGGAGCATGTACAAGATGAAGCTCGCGTCCGACGAGTGCACCGATGCCTCGCCGAGCTCCGTGATCGCCTGCAACATGATGAGGATCGGGCGCACGGTCGCCTCGGGTGCGTGCGAGAGCTCGTTAAGCAAAAGACCGTTCATCGTGCCGAGGTGGTCGGCGGCCTTTTGGTGGTGCACGCGCGCATCGAGCACCTGCTCGAGCGCCTCTTCCTGGAGCACGAGACCGCTCTTGCGCAGAGGTACGTGCGTAATCATTTCGGCGCTCGACTCGCCGCTCGTGCGCAGGACCCAGTCACCACCTTCAAAGAGCACGGCGCGCAGCAGCGTCTGCAAAAGTGGGTTGAAGAGGTACATGACGCGGTCCCGCGACGCGAAGAAGCCCAGGACGAGCGGAATGCGCGTATACGGCACAGTGAGGTAGCTCAGCAAATACTCCGACTCTTCCGACGAGAGCGTGCCCTGGAAGAGCGGCAGTGCATCCGTGTGCATCACATCATCCTCTGTCACGACGGGCAGCGACGTCTGGAGCAGTGGTGGCAGCGACGCCGGGCTCACAACGACGGGGCCCTCGCCGAAAAAGAGCTTGCGCTGGGTAAAGCCCGAGACATCAATGTCGGCAATGTCCTGGTCGATGCCGCGGAAGCCCGCCACCTCCCACTTGAGCTTGCCCGCGAGAAAGTTGCGCGAAATGTTGAAGCGGCGGCCGTAGCGCGACGTCGCCTCGTCAAACGTGAGCGACCACATCTGCCACTGGCGCAGGCCCGTGCGGCGGCGCATGAGCTCGTCTTCGCGCGTCTCCATCGTGCACAGAAACTTGCACATCGTCACGAGGTCGCGCGTCTGGGCCATTTCGGGGTGCTGCTCGGCAAGCGGCGTCGAGTCCGAGAGGAACCAGTCGACGAGCGCCTCCATTTCGCTCGGTGGGTTGGCGTCATCGGGCGCAATGAGCGGGTAGTTGTACAGCTCCATGAGCTTGCGCAAAAAGCCAAACGTCGTGCTGTACTTTTTGAGCTCGACCTTCTCGTCCGGCATGCGCAGCTCAAAGAGCGGCGTGAGCGTGTTGAGCGACGCAAAGTACGCAAGGACGCGGCCACGCACGACCGCAAACGACGGTTGCACGAGCTCCATCGCGCGCGCCGTCTCGAGCAGCGTCCGGCTGTTTTGGCAAAATGAATTCGCGAGCACGTAGCCCTCGGCCATTAGCAGCGACATCTCCATAGGCGTGTCGACGGCGACCGCGCGCAGCATGGCATCGTACATGGCCAGCGCACAGATCGAGGCGAGGGCCCGCGTGGCGTCCAAGCTTCGCGACGGCCGCTCAATTGACTGCCACACGATACCGAGGATAAGCACAAGGTTGTGAACGCTCTTCAAAACACCAAACTGCAGCTCCTTCCCGACAGGCTGCCGCCACATGTCGTCGTCCGCAATCGATGGCACGGGGATCGTCTCGGTAAAGAGCGTCGTGACGAGTTGGATGACTTCGTGGTGCAGCGCGACGCGCGAGGACGACGATCCGTCGCCTGCGCGCTGCAAGAGCGACTGGCACACGCCCTCGCAGCGGATAAAGGCCGCCGCCGCCAGCTCGATCGTACCGACACGCTCCGGGACGTCGAGCATGCTGGCAAGCACGGGCACGACTGCCTCGGCGACGTTGCCTGCATAGCCGTCGACGCTCGCGGGCTTGAAGTGCTCCATGTGCTCGAACGGAAGCAATGGTACTTGGCGATCAAACTGCCACTTGGACGTATCTTCCGGTGCCGGAGTCTTGGCTGCAATCAGCGCGCGCTTCGCATCCACGTCTTGGATGAGCTCGTGCACGGCCACAAGGTCGTCCGTCAAGAGCCCGCCGGCGGTGTTTTGCTTGATCGCGGAGAGGCCTGTTTGCTTGAGCGCCATGTGGATGCACGCACCCTCCGTGTCCGAGAGCGTCGGCAACGGCAGCTGGAACGTGTCGGACGGCACCCACGGGTAGTGCGCACCAATCGGATCCTGGAGCACGAGCTCAACACCCTAGTTGGTCGCGATATGAGTCGCTATACGTATGCAAGGGGTTAACGCACCAAAGGCGTCTTGACGGCGCCTGTTGCGTCCATGACGACGAGGAGCGGCATCTTCGAGACGTGGAAAGCTTGCACGAGCTTTTTGCGCGCCGCCATCTCTGCGATCGGGACGCACGCCCACGACACGGGAAGCGACATCAAGTGCGACTGGTACTCTTCGTCCGTCGAATCGAGCGGCACGACAATGATCGCGATGCGGCGACCGGCGGCCGTGAGGCTGTCGCAGAGACGGATGAGCTTTGTCCGAAAGGTCTTGCACGCAGGGCAGCTCAGACTCGCAAAGTAGACACCGATGACCGGCGCGTCCGCAATGACGTCGGGCAGTTGACGACTACCTTGCAGCGAGTCGATGAGTGAAATACCCGCCAGTGCTTGAATTGCCTACAGGGTCAACGCAATGAGACCTCCAGTAGCGACCGCCAAAATGTACATACCTCGACGGCCGACGTCTTGAAGGGCAGCGTCGGGTCGTCGAGAGCAATCAAGTCGTCGCGCATCTGCTTGAGGATGTTCCAACGCACGCGGAACATGATGCGCTTGATTTCAAACGCCGAGAGCCCTCTCTTGCGCAAGAGAAACTTGGCGGCTTCGACCACGTTCTTGACAAAGCCAGTGTTGCTGCGCTGCGGTGTGCAAAAGTACGCGTCGGGCGACGTCGCAAACGCAAGAGGCAAGACCGAGTCGGCCAGCCACGGCAAGAGCACGTCGTAGAGCGTCTCCATGCGGTGGTACTCGGACGGCGGGTTCTTCAGCCAGAGCGAAAAGGCAAGACTCCAGAACGAGAGGTCGAGCATGCGGCTTGCAGGCACGTGGGCGATCGTCGCGCACGACTGCACCTTCATCTTGAGCTGCGTCGGGTCCGTCGGGTGGTAGTCGCTGCCGGGCCCGCGGTTGCACACTGTGAACGAATACTCGTCGGCCGCCGTCTTCTCGACAATGTACACGACCGCGTTCCGCGAGAGCTTCCCGACCCAGCCACCGGGGATGATGTACGGCGTCCCGATCTGCATGTCCCGGAGGTAGTCCTTGAACTTGCCCATCACGTCTGTAAATTCCTTGGCGTCCTTGGTCTGGGTCTGCGCCCATGGCACCGCATCGCGGAGGCTCGCTGCGACGGCCTTGACGCGGTCGTCGTCCTCGAGGCCGAGGAAGTGGGAGACGAGGAGGAGGCCGTTCCCGAGCTGACCCCCATCGAGCTCCGTCGCCCCGATGTACGGGTCGCCCATCATGCCAATGCATGCGTCGACCTTCCAGATCTTCCCGGCGGTCAAGTCCATCGCTCGCCGATTCCGAAAATGCATGAAATCGTGGGGCAGATCTTGCCGAGAAATCCTCGCTTTTTTATTCCACGCGACCCATCGCATACAAACACCAAATTATTTAATTGACCATATCTTTTTTTCGAACGCCCTTCATTGGCCCAGCTCCAAACCAACCAATCAAACGCATGGAGGCGAGCGGGGGACCACCCTGGTCCCAGCGCCACGCCAACCAAGACAGGGGGTCCTAGCACCAGCAGCAGCAGCAGCAGCCCTCACAGCCATCACGACAGCAACGCCATCCGAGCACTTGTAGAGGGAGAGGTCCGCCAGCGTTGTATTCGCCGAAACAGTGTGTCAAAACAGAGTTCATGTACTGTTTCGAAGTACACTGTACGCACCGTTGCTAGTGTTGGTCGTCGTTGCGAAGCCGCGATCTTTCTCTGCGGCCAACGCCAACAATCGCAAATGGATTGAACGAGATCTGGTACACGCGTATGTGGTGTTGAGCGCTGTGAATGCATCAACTTACTGTACTCTGGTGCTGCTCTGGGTCGGCGTGTCTGGTCCAAAAGATCTGGCGCCAAAATTCCGCCCTTCTGGAATCCTCTGGTTTCGACCGCTAGTCCGGATAACGTCCGGCATTTGCACATTCCGCACCTCGCATGGGACGAAGCCGTAGCCGAAGCCGAAGCGGGTCCCTGGACAGCTGGGGGCGTCGTCGCCAGCCTCGTGGGCGCGCCAACGAGCGTGGTCGTGACCGAAGCAGAGAGCGCAGCCGCGACCGTAGTCGGGATCGCAGTCGGGACCGGCCACGCGACCGTCGTGGTGGTCGCGGTCG